CTTTTTTGCTTATGTGGTGCTGAGGAATCAAACCCAGGGCCTCATGCATGCAAGGCAAGCGCTCTACCACTGAGCCACCTTCCCAGCCCCATAAACAAATTTTTTTAAAGAAGACAAGAAAAAAGAGAAAAGGGCTGGGATATAGCTCAGTAGCCTAGCAAGTGCAAAGTCCTGGGCTGGACCCTCAATAAAAAATTAAAAAAAAAAAAAAGAAAAGAAAAGAAATAAAGAAAGAATAGAAAGAAGAAGAAAAAGAAAACCAGGAATTTTAAAAGTCAATTTTTACTGGGTGCTGTTGACTCATTTGTGTAATCTTAGCTACTCAAGAGACTGCGATCAGAGGACCAAGATTCAAAACCCTGGCAGAAATGTCTGAGAGATTCCATCTCCAATTAACCAGTAAAAAGCTTGCTGGCAGTGTGACTCAAACTTGCTGACTGTTGATGACAGAGCCTTGTGGTAACTGGTCTTAACACCAGCATTCACTTTCTAGCACTGTGCATGTCTTGGAGAAATCTAAGTATTTGGATTTGAAACTGAGAATGATGGCAGTAATCTGACAGTCACCTATGTTTGATAAGAATAAAGTCACTGGATCTCTTTACGTTCTCAAAAGAAAACTACTAACTATATACTGGAGAACAGACATGGCTCCTTGTTCAGAGATGGACTTATTTATTGGCATCTGGCCATTGTGGTTTTTGTTTTTTTGTGGGTCATGGGGCTTGAACTCTGGGCCTGGGCGCTCTGTCCCTCAGCTCTTCAGCTCAAGGCAAGCGCTCTACCACTTGAGCCACAGCGCCACTTTCAGTTTTCTGGTGGTTTACTGGAGATAAGAGTCTCATGGACTTTTCCTGCCCAGGCTGGCTTTGAACCGAGATCCTCAGATCTCAGCCTGAGTGGCTAGGATGACAGGCGTGAGCCACCGGCACCCAGCCATTGTGTTTCTTTCTTGCAATAAAACCCATTCTCTTGCTTTGCTAACAGTGACTTCCTAACCTTCCATAGTAGAATCAGCCACTTCCTGTGGCTTTCTAGATAGACAGAGCCTTCTGATTAGCTTTCTGTGACATCTGTCTTGCAGGTCAGGGGCTGAAGCTTCATTAGGTAAGTTTGGTAGTGCACAAGGAATAAGAAACCAACACCAGCTGGGCACCAGTGGCTAACATCTGTAATCACAGCTACTAGGAGACAGATCTGAGAATTATGGTTCAAAGACAGCCAGCGCAGGGAAGTCTGTGAGATTCTTATCTCCAGTAAACTATTCAGAAAAATCCAGAAATGGCACTGTGGCTCAAATGGTAGAGAGATAGCCTTGAGCACAGAGAGGCTCAGGGACAGAGCCCAGGCCCTGAGTTCAAGCCCCAGAATCAGGGAAAACAAAAAGAAAGAAAGAAGAAGAAGAAAAAGCCGGGCACTGGTGGCTCACACCTATAATCCTAGCTACTCACAAGGCTGAGATCTGAGGATCGAGGTTCAAAGCCAGCCCAGGCAGGAAATTCCATGAAACTCTCATCTCCAATAAACCACCAGAAAACCGGAAGTGGCACTGTAGCTCAAGTGGTAGAGCGCTAGCCTTGAGCTGAAAGGCTGAGGGACAGAGCTAAGGCCTAGAGTTCAAGCCCCACGACCGACCAAAAAAAAAAGAAAGAAAAAAGAAAGGAAACCAACACCTTTGCCAATATAGGTCAGGTCATATAAGTATAAGCACCTATTTGTAATGCCAACAGACAATTCAGATCCTGACTGTTTCCTGACCTGGGGCAAGTTACTGGGTACCTCTAAGACTCTGTGCTGGAGGCAGAGCCCAGGCTACATCAGCAAAGTCATCTTTCTTAGATGATTCTACCAGGCACAGAGGTAAATAATAAACGGGGCCAGCAAAGCCCCCAACTGAATCTCAGAGCCTCCCTTTCCCACATGGATAGATAGCACTGAGGAAGAGGAGAGCAATCAGGAGAGGTGTGGTCAGTCCTAGCCCCACAGCTGGGGAGCACGCACCTTCACAGCTGCCCCTGGCGCCGTTGCAAGCCCCAGACTCCAAGGGCGAGCTGCCAAACTCGTCAGGCAAAGGCTGTTTTATATAGCGGCTTTAAAAATGCAAAGAAAGAAAAGACTGTTAGTGTTAATGGCTATTTTTCTCCACTAGACAGCTAAGACGTGCTTCCTCATTTATACATTCAGCTATTCACAAAGCAATTTATGAAACCAGAAACGCTGGGAATTACTGGGTAATGGCTCTATCACGCAAGAGGAACTCAAGAGATCAGACATTTCATTTATCAAGTCAATGGAGGAGACTCCAAGAAACTCTATGTTTCAAGTCTAATGAAAGTCATGTAGCCCCAGGAGTTTTGAAAGGCTTGTTCCAATAATGTTCAATTGTCAGCTTCCGAACAATAGGGGAACACTTTGGAGATAGCACTCATATACAAAATGTCACTAAAGTGCTAGACTTCCTAACACAGCAGAACGACACAATTCCAGAGACCGGCAGCTTGGGCATCTAGGATCAGAGAAGTGCCAGGCACTCCATTCCAATGGCACCTGTCCTGGCCATCAGTGAGGCTGGGACAGCCGCACTTCCTCTCAGAAGTGAGCATGTGGGATACACACACACACACACACACACACACACACACACACACACTCTGCAGGGGCCAGTGCTGCCTCCGCTTGGCCTCTCCTTGATCTTGGCACCCACCTGATACGATCACACACAGCCTCGTACAAAGATTCCAGGGTGAGCTTGTGCTTGGGGACACAAACGAGCAGGGGCTGCCCAAACAGCACTGCCCCGGAAGAAGTACTCGATGGCCTGGACTTCCGCTCCCTGAAGTAGACTGGAAGGGTGACACATTCTGAGCCATCCACGAAGGTGCTGCAGACCTCGTACCTGCATTGGTCACACAGAGGGAACTTTTAGTAATGTGTCCATGGAAACCTGACCACCAAAGGCTGCAGTGCTCAGGCCAAAACCTTTTTTTTTTTTGGCTGGTCCTGGGGCTTGAACACAGAGCCTGGGTGCTGTCCCTGAGCCTCTTAGTACTCTACTCTTTGCCTTCTACCACTTGAGCCACAGCACCACTTCCGGTTTTCTGGTGGTTTATTCAAGAGTTTCACAGATTTTCCTGCCCGGGCTGGCTTTGAACCACGATTCTCAAATCTCAGCCTCTTGAGTAGCTAGGATGACAGGCGTGAACTACCAGTGCCCAGCAAAAAGGGTTTTTTTTTGGGTGCTAGTACTGGGGCTTAAATTCAAGGTTTCCTGCGTGCTTGGCTGGTGCTCTTCCACTTGAGCCACACCACTAAATCTGACGTTTCTGCAAGTTAATTGGACATAAAGCCTCACTGACTTTTCTATCAGGGTTGGTTTTGAAGCATAATCATCTGATCTCAGGCTCCTAAGAAGCTCTGTGTATAGGTATGAGACATTTTCCGCCCAGTCCAATTAAAAAAACAAGTAGAATCAGGGCTAGAAATGTGGCTTAGTGGTAGAGTGATTACCTAGCATGCATAAGGCCCTGGGTTTGATTCTTTGATACCACATAAACAAAAATTGAAAAAATAAAAAATAATAAAAACATTAAAAATTTAGCTTAAAAAATAACATAGAAGCTGGGCGCCGGTGGCTCACACCTGTAATCCTAGCTACTCAGGGGGCTGAGATCTGAGGATCATGGTTCAAAGCCAGCCCAGGCACAAAAGTCCATGAGACTCTTATCTCTATTAAACCACTACAAAAGCGGAATTGGCACTGTGGCTCAAACAGTAGAGCGCTTGCCTTGAGCTAAAGAGCTGAGGGACAGCGCCCAAGCCCAGAGTTCAAGCCCCACGACCAACAAAAAACAAAAACAAGGAAGTGGCGCTGTAGCTCAAGTGGTAGAGCACTCGCCTTGAGCTGAAGAGTGCAGGGACAGCGCCCAGGCCCAGAGTTCAAGCCCCACGACTGACAAAAAAAAAAATCAAAAAAACAAAACAAAAACAAAAACAAAAAAACACAGGTCATAGGCACTAGTGGCTCACGCCTATAATCCTAACTACTCAGGAGGCTGAGATCTGAGGATCACAGCTCAAAACCAGCCCCAGCAAGGAAAGTCCGTGAGACATACTGGACACAGGAAAACTTAAGTTGTGTTGAGTGTCTGGTGTTGGTGTTTTTGTTTTTTAGCCAGCCCTAGGGCTTGAAATCTGGGCCTAGGCACTATCCCTGAGTTTCTTTTCTTTTCTTTTTTTTTTGGGGTCCGGTCATGGGGCCTGAACTCTGGGCCTGGGCACTGTCCCTCAGCTCTTCAGCTCAAGGCTGGCACTCTACCACTTGAGCCACAGCGCCACTTCCGGCTTTTTTCTTTTTGCTTATGTGGTGCTGAGGAATTGAACCCAGGGCCTCAAGCATGCAAGGCAAACGCTGTACCACTAGCCACCTTCCCAGCCTCTCCTTGAGTTTCTTTAGGTCAAGGCTAGCACTCTACTACTTGAGCCATGGAGCCACTTCCGGCTTTTTCTGTTGATGTGGTATTGAAGAATCGAACCAGGGCTTCATGAATGCTAGGCAAGCACTCTACCACTACGCTACATTCCCAGCCTCTGAATCAGGCCTATTAACAGGCAGCACACCTGCTGACTGAAACCATGGCCATGCTGAAGACACCTGAGAGGTGTCAGTAGGTACTTAAGACTTATGACTACCCCCCCAAAGGCCTTTAGCACCCATCTTTGAAGGCCAAGGGATAGGACAAAGGCACATGAGCAGACAACTCTCAGAACTTTTGCCCTGGAAACACAATCAAGGCAAAACTTCTAGAACATGCCCTTCGATTCTGCACCAGAAACCATGAAGTACTCACACAAAAATGTCATCCCTGGGCATGATGTGGCTTAAACCTTCATCCATTTGGAAAATCTTGTGGAACCGGTGATTATACACATCTGTGACCACCATCTAAGAATCAACAGTGCAGAAAGATTATAGGATGGCTGAGTGCTCTAACTGCTTAAAATCCAGAAAGCAAACAAGGTGCCGGAGTATGGCCTGTAGAGAACCAAGCATACAGTGAGCTCTAGAGTTCGAGGCCAAGGTCTAAGGGGAGCAGCATGGCTGTTACCAGCACAGCTGTTACCAGCACCCAATGATGCTCTCAAGTGTTGGGAATGGGGGACAAGTTAGTGGTGAGCAGAAAGAGGTCTGGAAACCTCTGGAATGTATTACAGAGCCAGAATCTCTGTGCTACCTGTATCACATTGTGCTGCAGAGTACTGACTCTGAAGGCAATAAGGAACAGGACCACCATGGATGGGAAACTTTCCTGACCAGGATTGGGGTTCAAAGCCAGCCCAGGCGGGGAAGGCTGTGAGACTCTTATCTCCAATAAACCACTCAGAAAACTGAAAGTGGTGCGGTGGCTCAAGTAGTAGAGCACTAGCCTTGAGCTGAAGAGCTGAGGGACAGCGCCCAGGCCCAGAGTTCAAGCCCCACGACCAACAATAACAACAAAAAAGAATCATGAAATGTTGGAGATTGGAGGCTCATGCCTGTAATCCTAGCTACTCAGGAGGCTGAGATCTGAAGATCGTGTGGTTCAAATACAGCCTGGCCAGGAAGATTCTTATCTCCAGTTAACCATCAGCACATTGGAAGTGGCGCTGTGGCTCAAGTGGTACAGTGCTAGCCTATAGCTGAAGAGCTCAGGGACAGAGCCCAGGCCCAGAGTTCAAAATCATGAAGCCTACATGCCATGGCCATCTCTTTTCCCTCCCCGCTTCTTCCCTCCCCAGCTGCCTTACATTTTCTGCAGCAATGCCAGACAACTTGGAGAGCGCCTCACACAGGTCAGACACGGCTCCCATCAGTGGCACAGTCACACGGTACTGCAAGACAGAAATAGTTCAGGTGATGGGGACCGCAAAAAGTCGGGACTAAGAAATGACGTGGTGTGGGGCAGCAGTGTGGAGGCAGAGAAACCCTTCCAGTGGCAGAGCATGGAAAGGTCGCAGCCCAGACTGATCAGTAGCCAAGCAAGAGTAAAACAGGCATCAGCAAGGCTGCAGCATTCAAGCAATGCAATGGGAGTTGGGCCAGTCTGTCTCTCTCAAATCCGACTTTATTTTATCCTCTACTTTTTAGAGCAGCTCACTACTTCCTTTAAAGAATGGAATTGTCGGGGCTGGGAAGGTGGCTCAGTGGTAGAGCACTTGCCTTGCATGTATGAGGCCCTGGGTTTGATTCCTCAGCACCACATACGCAAAAAGAAAAAAGCCGGAAGTGGAGCTGTGGCTCAGGTGGTAGAGCGCTAGCCTTGAGCTGAAGAGCTTAGGGACAGCACCCAGGCCCAGAGTTCAGGCCCCACGACCAGACCAAAAAAAAAAAAAAAAATGGAATTGTCATCTGGAGCTACACATTGCATTGCTTTTTTTTTTTTTTCTTTTCTGTCAGTCTTAAGCCACAGCTCTACTTCAGGCTTTTTCTGCATATGTGGGGCTGAGGAATCGAATCCAGGGCCTCATGCCTGCAAGGCAAGCACTCTACCACTGAGCCACCTTCCCAGTACTATACATCATTTTTCTTTAGAGATACAGAAATGAAAGCCTGAATATGAAGCCATAAATCACCTTGTAAGCTCGCAGCACAACTAGACACAAAGAGCCACTAGTCAAGCCTCTCAGCTGGCCTTTTATTCTAGCCAGGTTCTCCTAGCTGAGGGACCTGACTAAAGAAAGTGAACTGCTTTGGGTTTCCCGACATTCAGATTCAAGAACTATTTAGGAAGTTAACAGGTTACTAGAGCCGCATGAATGGAGCATGGGGGAAAAAAGTGACAGGGAAACTACAAAGACCCTGACACCTGTCCTAAATAACATGGGATTACACAAGGACCTGTAAAGGCCAAGGGCACACACAGGAGGGCACATACCAAGGGCGGCAGAGTCTCCAATACAGCAGAGAGAAGTAATCCCACTGCGGCCTGGAGACTCCTTGGGGAGGGGGTACCATGAGGGTGAAGATACTTTTACCTGGGAAGGTCTGCAGCGAGGGTCAGCAGGAACCAGGAAGACCTCCATAACTCGATCTTTCTTCAAGGGCAGTGGGAGAGTTAGATAGCAAAATGGGTCAAAGGTCACGGAAACCTTTGCACATTCTGGACAAACCAAAGTAGATTTGAAGAGGCCGTGGAAAGTGTCCACAATCACTGAATCATTCCGCAGCCTATGATTCTCCCAGGCTTCCTTTGCCACTACCTGGACGAAAAGTGAAGGGAGAAGCAGGCCATGCTCAACATATTGTCAGTATTCCAATCCTTTTACCCTGTATCCAGAATGAATCACATCAAACCCTACTCTGGACCAGGAGGCAAGCCAAGAATAGCCAAGGCCAGGTAGTATTCATAGGACATGGCAGCTCTACACACATACTTAATAGGAAATTGACAGAACATCTACAGGAGGGGCTAAGAAGGTGGCTTGATGGTAGAGTGTTTGCCTAGCATACATGAAGCCTTGGGTTCAATTCCTCAGTACCATATAAACAGAAAAAGCTAGAAGGGGCACTGTGGCTCAAGTGGTAGAGTGCTAGCCTTGAACAAAAGAAGCTCAGGAACAGTGCCCAGGCCCTGAGTTCAAGTCCCAGGACTTGGGTAGGGGAGAGGGGAGGTGAGAGATCTACAGGAAACAAGGGGCCTTGAGCGCATCATGATATATCAAACCTGATTGGGAAAAGTACATCTCCCATGCTTTCAGTGATTTAAAGGCCCTTTAAGTAGGCTTTAATCTATACTAAGACAAGGGCTTACCTAGAACACCTCAGGGGTACTTTATTTATTTTTGTTTTTGTTTTTTTGGTTGGCCGTGGGGCTTGAACTCTGGGCCTGGGCGCTGTCCCTCAGCTCTTCAGCTCAAGGCGAGTGCTCTACCACTTGAGCTACAGCGCCACTTCCGGTTTTCTGGTGGTTTATTGGAGATAGGAGTCTCACCGTCTCTCCTGCCCAGGCTGGCTTTGAACCGCGATCCTCAGATCTCAGCCTCCTGAGTAGCTAGGATTACAGGTGTGAGCCACCAGCACCTAGCATCTCAGGGATACTTTAAAATATTCATACTGATAGGGCAGGTAAAATACTAGAATCCCTCCCCCCTTTTATTTTTGGTCAGTTGTGGGGTTTGAACACTGGGCTTGGGCGCTGGTCCCTCAGCTCTTCAGCTCAAGGCCAGCGCTCTACCACTTGAGCCACAGCGCCATTTCCAGTTTTCTGGTGGTTTACTGAAGATAAGAGTCTCATGGACTTTCCTGCCCAGGCTAGCTTTGAACCTCGATCCTCAGATCTTAGCTTCCTGAGTAGCTAGGATTATAGGCATGAGCCACCAGTGCCCGGCTTTAGAATCCCCTTTCATATACCAGAAAACCCAGATAATCAGCATGTACAAGGCCCTGGGCTCAGGATGGACAAAGAAAAGGAAGGAGGCGGGGCTGGGGAGGTGGCTCAGTGGTAGAGTGCTTGCCTTGCATGCATGTGGCCCTGGGTTTGATTCCCCAGCACCACATAAGCAAAAAGAAAAAAACCGGAAGTGGTGCTATGGCTCAAGTGGTAGAGCGCTAGCCTGGAGCTGAAGAGCTGAGGGACAACGCCCAGGCCCAGAGTTCAGGCCCCACGACCAGACCCAAAAAAAAAAAAGAAAAGAAAAGGAAGGAGGGGGAAGGAGGGAGGGAGAAAAGGAGGGTGGGAAATCAAGGCAAAAAAAATGTAAATGGGGCTGGGAAGGTGGCTCAGTGGTAGAGCGCTTGCCTTGTATGCTTGAGGCCCTGGGTTCGATTCCTCAGCACCACATAAGCAAAAAGAAAAAAGCCTGAAGTGGCGCTGTGGCTCAAGTGGTAGAGCGCTAGCCTTGAGCTGAAGAGCTGAGGGACCGCGCCCAGGCCCAGAGTTCAGGCCCCACTACTGGACCCAAAAAAAATATATATATATATAAATGCCCTAAACTTGATAACAAAGTTTTTTAATAATCATCATGGAGTTAGGGATAGTGGTTCATACCTATAAACCAGACATTACAAAAACTAAGGCAGAAGGACCACAGGTTCCAGCCTAGCCAGACACATAGTAAGATCTTATCAACAACCTGTAACAATCCCTGATGAACTTTAAGAACAATAATACTAAAGGCAGACACTATTAGCATCTTACAATTGAATGTGGTGAAGAACTGTTGCCTAGCACCCAAATGGATGGGTTCCACCCGCCCCATGCAAGCGCGCACACACACACGCACGCACGCACGCACGCACGCACGCACGCACGCACTCAAGAGTAACTAGTTACTGAAATGGAGTTTCTGGGCATGGACTGCACAGTTCGCACCTGCTGCTAGCATCAATGACAGACACCTGGGCCCTGCCACTAATACCCCAGGACCAGAAGACTGTCCTCATTCTGTCAACAGGAGAACTGTGCAGAGAGCTTCAGCATCGTACCGCATCTGGCCGCCCATTGGCATCCTTCGGCTCCAGGTAGGGTTTCTTTTTGACTCGGTTCAGGTCTTCATGCAATCCATCTAGAATAAAGGCTAACAGCTCCTGAGAGTCTTGTTGTTGGTAGCCAGAAAACTGAGGTGCAAAACGTCCCACTTGGGTCTGCAACAGAAGCCAAAACACTTTTTGCTTTAGATACCATCTAAAATGCAAAATAAATAAAATGCTTTATTATACCACTAAACCACTCACCTCACAAGGGGAAAAATGAACTATTTATCTTAACCTACTTCAGTTTTTGTTTTTTGCCAGTCCTGGGGTTTGAACTCAGGGCCTGGGCACTGTCCCTGAGCTTGTTAGCTCAAGGCTAATGTTCTACCTCTTGAGCCACAGCGCCACTTCCAGCTTTTTCTGCTTATGTGGTACTGGGGAATCGAACCCAGGGCTTCATGCATGTTAGGCGAGCACTCTACCACTGAGCCACCTTCCCACCCCCTCCTCAACCTACTTTGAACATGCGAGGAGCCACGTGAGAGTCCCTTCCAGACCACATCTGCTTAATGAGCTCTGCGTAGGCCTCTGCGATCTCTCCTTTCATCCCTAGAGGATTGTCTCTGTTAATTTCAGCTTCATATTCGTCTTTGAGAAAGTAGTCAGTCAGCGGGGCAGTGTTGCTCAGGCACTAAAAACAGAACAAGATCAGTGCTTTTTACACCGTCTCATCTCTCACCAGCCAGGTTCATAGTGAGAAATGAACAACATCTGGACAGTACTAAGGTAATGGGAAACCACTAGGGTAGAGGATTTGCAGTAACATGGCATCAAGTCCACGAGTGATCAAACATGTCTAGGAGGAGGTCTTTTTGTTTTTGTTTTTTTTTTT